AGAATTGGATGAAGGATTTAATAATTAAAATTAAGTTATTTACAAAGGTGAATATAATCAAAATGGTACGAAGATAGGCAGATGGGAAATATTAAATTTAGAATTTGAAAACAAGCTATGGTAACAGTATTAATTAAGCTTTTTAGTGGTTGTATAAATTATGATGAAAATGGTAAGGAAATTTATAGGAGTGAAAAGTATTAAGATATATTAAAGTTTTAGTAATAGTATTTTATAGATTGGGTCATTTTCTAAAGGTATAAAGGTTGGTAGATGGTAGATTATATATTAAGCTAATGGAAAAAAGGATTATAAATAAATGTAAAAATTATTTATTAAGGTAAATATAGTGGTGGTGGATCTTATAATTTAGAAGGTAATTTAAAAAAGATAGGAAAATGGGAAGAATTGGATGAAGGGTTTAATAATTAAAAATAAGTCATTTACAAGGGTGAATATAATTAAAATGGTATCAAATAAGGAAGATGGGATATTATGTTCGATAGTTAGGGTAAAAGTGAATATAAATTAATGTAACACTTTATCTTAAAAGGGAAATAATTAGTGGTGGTGGATCTTATGATTTAGAAGGAAATTTGAAAAAGATAGGAATATGGATTGAATTGGATGAAGGATTTAATAATTAAAAATAAATCATCTATACTGGTGAATATAACATTAATGTTATTAAATAAGGAAGATGGGATATTTTGTTCGATAATTTGGGTAAAAGTGACTATAAATTAATGTAAAAATTATAAAGTAATAGGGTAATATTTAGTGGTGGTGGATCATATGATTTAGAAGGTAATTAGAAAAAGATAGGAAAATGGGAAGATTTGGATGAAGGATTTAATAAATAAAAATTAGTTATTTACAAAGGTGAATATAATCTTAAAGGTATTAAGATAGGGAAATGGGATATTATGTTTGATAGATGGGGTACAGGTGACTATAATTAAATGTAAGAATGCTATAAGTATAAGGAATGTATAGTGGTGGTGGTTCATATGATTTAGAAGGAAATTAGTAAAAATTAGGATATTGGGTAGATTTAGATGATGAATTTTCAATTTGTAAACAAGTTACAAATTAAGGTGATTATAATGTGCTTGGTAAAAAAACAGGTATTTGGATGAAGAAGGATTTAGTACACAATTTTTATTATGATAAAATAAATTATGATTATTGAAAAGATATTTTAAATTCACCCATAAATGATAAATTCTTGCTGATTGTTCATTATTCTAAAAATATTTTTTTAAAATTTCACAAAATCATTCGGTTAACATAAAATAATACCAATATAAACAATATAATTAAAAAGTATAAGGAATGTAAACTTAATAAAAATTAAATAGAAAAATATATATTAAAAATAAATTTAATGATCTTTGAAAATGATAAGATTGAAAAGATATATAAAGTTCTAAAACTTAAGGTTATTTAAATGTGTAAAATATTATGTAGAGTTTGATAAGCATGATGATAGATGTGTAAAAACCTTCCTTTTTTATAGAATTTTATTTAATTAATAATAAGGAGATCATCTTTATCAGATAGAGTTTATTCTTATATTATTTTATAGATAAAAATATGAATTAATTTAATAACAATGTGAAAAACTTTCAGTAACTTAAATTATGTTCTGATGCTTAGTTTGATCTTAAAAGGAAAAATGAACTAATGAAATTAAATCATTATTCGATCCTAAATTAACAGTGAAGGCTAAAACTTTTTGGGATAGATTCCATTTATAAAAGTTAAATATTTATTCTTTTAATTAGGTGTATAGAAATTAAAACTATATGGCATTCCACATTTTTCTAAGGATGCCTTTGATGGATTTACTTTCATAAAAAATTATTATTATTTTTCATATGGAATATAAATTCATACTATACTTAATTTAAAAATGCTATACTTCCTTCCATTTACCTATTTTAAGAGTAGTGAAAGCTAACTCATTTAAACTGTTTTTTATAATGATATTTCTTTATTCCTTAAAATGGTACCATTTAATATCTTCCATTTTCTTCTGTGAGTGTTTTTTTTTCAGAATAATATCATAATTG